ATTATCAAAGTGTACGAGAACAGTTCTTAAGAAATTAACTAGGCAAGGCATTTTAGTAAGTGTACATTAAATGTGCCACATGCAAAGATCACAGTGTTGGGTTGTTTATCTGCCTGATTATCTCTCCAGGAATAGGTCAGGGAAGCTGGAGGAGTGATTGCCCACTGTTCCAGCTCTTTGGGGCCATCCAAAATGTGAAGGGACACCAAGCCACACTTGATAGCAGGTATATGTGTGGGTGAGAACAATGTGCTACAAACACATTGGCAAAGTGTCATGTGTAAAAAAACATGGTTTTTAGGCCACAGAACCTTAAAGCTAAGTGACTCTAAGATGCAGACTTGAATATATCCATCACAGGCACACTCCTCTGCAATGATTTGGGAGTCTGTCTGGAATATAGCAGAAAACCAACATATCCATGAGTTAGAAACTGGCATTTCATTTCTCTTCTATCCTATCTCTGTGTATTAATGATTCCTTCAAAGATAACACAATATAATAAATAGGTTCACGAGAGGATAGATGTTGAACTATTTAATAAATGTCTCATAAAATCATTTTTGTAGTAAGCCAAGTTAACAAAGAGAGACTCCATTTGTGATGTTTGACAGCTGACAGCCTTCACTCCCCACTTCTCCCTTCCCCTTTTGCCCCATATCTGGGAAACCAGACCAGAAAGTCTGCACACACCCTTGGTCCTTGGAGTCCTTGGTCCCTTGGTGCAGACAGAAATTTCAAACCACACAAACCCTAGTCTCAGCGTGTGAACCTCCACCATTCACCTCCTAACTACAATAAAAACCTAATGTTCCCCTCACTCTATCTCACTCAGGACCCCCTTAGGGAACCCATGTGCTATTGATTGTGTGAGTCATAAACCTATTTCACAACCACTGGTGCCCATGTGTCATTCATCCCATCCCCCATCATTTCCGGGGGTGAGGTAGGGGACCGCCCAGCATCCAGCAACGGACACTGAGCACCAAATAAACACCAGCTGACTCCTTTCATTTAATGATTCCTCAGAGTAACTTGCCAAGGTGTCGGGAAAGACTCTAGTCTCTAAGAAGTTTTCCAGGGCAAAGACCAGGAGAATGAGAGCATCAGATTCATCGATACGCATGAATGAGTTAGAATTTGAAATATGCTAAAGCAAATTTCTAAAAGAATGGTTAATAACACACAGAACTATATTTGCAGGAATAAAATTAAGTGATATAGAAGTGGAATACTACTGATTTTCAGTTACAACTTTACTTTTACTGCTTTAACAGAAACATTTAAAATGAAAATTTTTTTATATCTAAACTACACATTAAATACCAAAACACAGAATCTTAGCTCTCACCCGAACGGCACTCCAAGGGCACCCAGGGGAGTCACCAGGACCGTGGGGACTGCCGTGTAAGCCAGGAAGTTTCCAATCTGGCCAACAGCCACTGTCAAGAGAATCACAGGGATACATACCACTTGCAGTCACAGAGCTCTCTTTTAGCATTGATCACATAGTGGAATTCTGCAAGGCTGTGCTCTAAATGGGCTGCTTCTTTCCTGTTACTTGTGAGGAATCAAATCTGGGGTGTCATTTGCATGTTTAAGGGTTGTGGTGGCAAAGAGCAGGCCCCATAGCCTCACTGGTCCAATCAGTTGGGTGAGTAGTTTCAGCCCTCCATGGAAGTGCCCTAACCAGCAGTGACTGACGGCACACACAGCACTGAGTGCATGCCCACTGTCTTAACACATCCTTGTTTTAAGTCGGGCAGAGCTTCCTGTGCACCTTCAGGTGGCCTGGGACCTACTCCAGTGTGGGCAGCTGACCGCAGTGACCCGATGCCGACACACCGAGTGAAAACACTGTTGCCTGCACAGGACTGCTCCAGGGGCTACCCCCAGATGGAGCTTGAAGAGGAGCTCTTCCAATGGATGGAATCAGTGTTGGCTAGGTAATGTCTTGCCTAAAAGATGATATACGACAAATAAACCACATAATATTTCTGAAATTTCTAATACAATTTCCCTTCACATATTTAGAGCTCTGAATTTTAATTTTATCATTTGCTTTTACGTTATAGCACACAATCTTTGATCTGGTCTTTGAGTCAAGAAACTCTCCTTGATTAAACCAACTGAGTTGAGCAAAATGAGGCAGAATTTCACCAAATGCCAAGAGCCCAACTACACGTGAGTAAGCAGGAGCTGTTTTAAATTCTTCAGGCCCAGGACGGGACTAAATTCAGGCCTACTTCTGGGTAGCAGGAGGCTCCGCCCTCTGTGTCCCTGTTCTTGTTCTGAGCTTGCCCATCCTCTCCTTCCCAACATGTGGAAGGACAAGCAGAGGAGGGAAAGCAAAGAAAGTGGCTCTGGGAGGCATCAGAGCTGGGGAAGACATGGAGTGGAGCCCAGCTCATCCCAGACCCTGCAGCGCTGCCCAGATGAATGGCTCATGTTAAGAAAGAAAGAAAAAGACCAGACTCTTCGCCACACAGGCTACTTACTTGCAATGGTGCCGGCCCACCAGACAATGTCTGTTAGATAGGAGGTACCTATGGAAGAATAAAATTTAAAAAAATGTCAGGAAAGAAGTTTTACAGGCTACAGATGTCAGGAAGGAAGAGGTTTGTAAGCGACATACCTAAAAGACAAATTTTTATGTGAAAACTAAAATTGAAAAGAATGAGTACCATACTGTTTATTCACCCTATAAAGAACCTTTAGTCTATAAATAGCAGCATAAGAAGGCACTAAAAGTGCAAAGTCAAGATATTTTTTGCCACCAACAAAGGCTGACCTAAATAAGCAAATCAGATCTTTATAAATTGGTTTTCTCTGCCTCAATAAGCCACTACAGAGACACAGATACACTCTGGAATGGAGTTTTATGTGGATCTCAAATGAGATTGAGTCTTTAAAGTCCAACTCTTTCATGCATTTATTGTAACCCATTTATATGATAATTTTATTATCATAGGGTTTGATGACTTCTTGCTTAAAAGAGTTACTCAATTTTCATAATTTATTAATATAAGCCTTCTGATATGGCTCTGCTTTCAACCATTTGGGCACCAGATCCTCACACTCACTCAATGCTTTGACATTTCACGTGAGGCTTCCCATGCACTTTTTCAGGCTATCCCCACCCATCCCGGTGCAGGGCAGGTGGCAAGTCAGGCACTGCCCAGGCCTCCCCATCCCATCTGTCCCTCCTTCTACCCTCTGGGACAGGTGCTTATAGAGGGAGGGTCTCCAAACCTTTGAGACACACATCTGTCCTTCAGATATGTCAAAATGTTCCTAATCTGAAAGGGATATATATATATTTGTTTTACTGCAGATTAAAGTACCTAACTCTAATTGGATATTTTAATTCTCAATAAAAAAAAAACCATAATAATTTGATATAAGGGACATAGGAAGCCAGCCTGCTTACTGGAGGATCTGAGCTACAGGTATTACAATAAGTACTTAAAAAATGAAATGGGTCAATAGTAATAAGTAATAATAGAGTAGGAATGGTAGAGTTAGAATATCACCATTTGACAACATCACAATAAAACTGACTTAGGCAAGAATAATCAATGGATACTAAAACAAATGGATGACAGTTTATCAAGGAACAGGATTGTTGCACAGTCTCAATGAATCACCTCCATAGGTTTTTTTTTTTTATTAATTACAAAGAGGAAAAGTTATCTGTACAGAGAAGCCTGGCAGACATCAGCAATGGGACGGATGGCATCACATGCCTCCTGTGAGGATGCACTGAGGAGGACACCCAAAAACATCTGTAACATTCCTGCCAAATGCAAAGCCTGAAACGAATCATAAGGAAACATTAGACAAACCCAAACTGTGGGACAGCCTAGGAATTAGCTGGCCTGCACTCTTCAAAAACAGCAAGGTCAATGGAAGACCAAGGAAAGCTGAAGATCTGTTGTAGATTAAAGGAAACCAAAGAGACATGATAACTAAACACACACATGATGCTAGATTGGAAACAAACAAACAAAAAAGGCTGCTATAAAGGACAGGTCACCCTCATCTTTTAAGCCAATATGAGGCAAAATTTTTCTGCAACCAAGGATACTAGACAAGTCAGATTTTTCTCTGTGTAGGTACCTGCCCCACACCCCTAGCTGCAGATCAAAGTGAAGTCCATGCATGTGGTCCCTGAGGGTCTCAGCCCAGGAGCACCCCCTGTGCTCCACCCTGAAGGACATGCACAGCTCTGTGTGCCCGTCCCCCTGTGCCCAGCATCCTCACTGAGCGGGCTGCCCCAGATTCCCTCGTCCTTCAGCCAGGAGTTCCTGGGAGCCTATATTCCTCATTAGTCCCCGCACCCTGTCATAAATATTTTTCTGATATGTCCTAAAACAACTGGGCTTCTTCACAGTTTCACCCTCAAGCACAACCATGCCTAAACTCACTCAGCAGCACCCTCAGGAAGTGCCTGTGCCCAAGCTCCTCCCCTTCTCAGCTGGTGCCCTCCTCTATTGCTCTTCATAGCAGCTGTGCCCAGTACTGTTAGGAACCTGAACATGCATCACCATCTGAGCTCCACCCCCGCACCACCCGTGCAGAAGTTGTCTTCCATGAAACCAGTCCCTGGTGCCAAAAAGGTCAGGGTCCGCTGGCTCTGCAGGTCCTCTGGCCTCAGCACAAACAGGGAGCACTGGAAAACACTGGGAAGTTTCTGTTTGTTTTACCACACTCATGCCTCGTCCGCCCCACTCCTGCGTGTGGGCTACAGAGGTAATGATAACGAAGTTCTAGGGGCTTCTCCTCGCACTGAAAACTTTGGGTGCTAATTGAGAGCTGCAGGGTTGTTTATAACTGCTAAACCATAAGACAAAGATGTGTTTGTGCAAATACAAAAGAGACTAATCAGGATAATATAAATTGGCAGTGATACTGTCCAATGATGGATGTATGGCTTCTAAGACCTTCCACTTAGTTAGAAATGTGTATCAGAAATGTCCTTAAACTACAACTTTCCAGGATAAAAATACAGACAATCATCTACTTTATTTACCTTCTGATTATTCCACAGAAAAATTATTTCCACTCATGTGTGCTCCTAACAGCAACAGTAGAAGTTGCTGCTAAAAGCAAAGGGAGAATGGATCACTAGTTCTTTGTAAATTCAAGGCTTGACTTTAAGAATGTACAAAAAGATGCTACATAGTTTTACAGAGTTCTTTTAAAAGGACTAAGAATCAAGAAATATTCTTTTCTGACATCAGCACAGCTAGGTGAAGCCATTAACTACAATGTGTCTGAGCACTGGTATTCACCAACTTCCTAAGGGATTTAATACTTGAAACTCTTTTGCGTGCAGAATTTATTTTCCTAAAGAAATAGTCTGGTAATTGTAAAAAAGAATAGTTATAGGACTTACACTATCTGATTTTAAGATTTGTTGCAAAACAACATAATCAAGACAGCGTGGTACGGGATTAAGGACAGACAATGAAACAGAATTCAGAAATAGATGTACACATGTTCAGTCAGATCACAGACTGGGCTGGGCGCGGTGGCTCACACCTGTAATCCTAGCACTCTGGGAGGCCGAGGCAGGAGGATTGCTTGAGCTCAGGAGTTCGAGACCAGCCTGAACAAGAGTGAGACCCCATCTCTACTAAAAACAGAAAGAAATTAGCTGGACAACTAAAAATATATAGGAAAAAAATTAGCCGGGCATG